TTATTTTACTCCCCACAATTTAAGCATCTTTAATTACTAAAATTTTATTAAATGGTATATGACTTATACTCTTACTACTGTTACAGTCATTATAATGATAATCTTTCTGCTTATAATTAAATAAAAGCTTTAACTTTTTCTTAGATGAACCATCTGGACTGTATCTCATCTGTCAAAGCCCAAACGTTTTGATATATGTTTTCGGATAGGTTTTTGTTACAAAAGTTGCTTTTTTGCGATCGCTTAACTACTCGTCTCAAAAAAATTATCAATATTTAAATGTGAGAGTATATGTCTCAAGTTTCGGTTTCACTCTACCCCGGGGTTCAGACCCGGGGTTCAGACCCGGGGTCCAGACCCGGGGTTCAGACAGCCATAATTATTTTATAATTAAAATTTAAAAAAGTCCTGTTAAATTAAAAAGTTAAGGAGACGAAGAAAATTATATTATACCTAATGAAGACTCGAAGAGGATATTTCTGAAGAAAAACGAAGAAGCATCAACATCTTGTCAATTCCATATTCCAGAATTCGTCAAAGCAAAAGTGAAAATCAGGACTTTGTATATAATTTAGAACTCATCTTTAAAGTAAAAAATATTGTGGATCATAATAATAAAAAAGATTGTTACTAGTATACATAGGTAATGATAACTTAATTAAAATAAAAAATTTCCATTACCAAATTTATTTAGAGAGCATTAATTGCATAACTTTACTTGATAGTTTGGAGAAAATATTTAAGGATATCTCTAGTACTTTTCTACATTGAATAGTTTTTATGCCTTATAAAGAGGCGGATAAACTATTATAGATTTCGATCATATTAAAAAGTATTTGCTCACTATTTAAATTTAAATCGTCCCTTTGATGAACTTTTAAGAGATATTTTTACCTTAGGAGTAGGGGGGGCTGCCTGAGTTGAATCAAAGCTTCGGTAAAAGTATACCGAAAGCAATATCACTTTTGAAGATACCGTGGGTTTAGCAATCGTGTCTTCCTTGGAAAAGGAAACATTAGAAGTTAACAAAATCATTAAACAAACAGTATTTTAGGAATAATAATTTAAATAACGGTAATAAATTCAATAATAATAGTTATAATGCAAACAAAGTACCTCATAATAATTATATTCTTAATAATTATAAATATAGTTTTAAACCTAACTTCATACAAAAAAATGTTATATACTTTCGATGCGGAAAGGCTAACCACATAGCAAAAGATTGTAGAACTCATGCCATCAGATGATTCTACCACTGATACCACGTCTTTCATTTCCTAATAAAGCTACCATTGATGCGAAGATAAGTGGTTTACGGTTTGCAATAGTGTGATAGATGAAGTTGCCTGGATACGCATTGTCAAGCCATCACTATCGACTGCGTATAAACTAGTGAGGTATAATAATATCAAAATCGAAGTGTTGGGTAAATGTACAGTGAAGATCGAAGTAAAAAACATTTCTAAATTTTTACCTACTTGGTTAGTTAAAAAGAGAATTCCCTTATTTTTGGTATGCCTTTTCTTATAGAATTCGATATAAAGCTTTCTGAAGAAGTTCAGATGAATAATATAAATATGATTAAACTATTGCATCAAAATTTTCACATGTTTTTTAGCGATTGATAACGATTTACTACCAACTTTTGTCTACCTGATTGCAGGTGGTAAAATATTTTTGACGAAAGATTTAAGAGATGTTTACAATTCGGAATTAGTCCAGAATGTAGTGACTAGTAATTTCGACTCATATTGATTTTTACCGATACCTAAGAATTCCTTTTGGGTTGACCAGCGCTCCGTATTTCAACGCTTTATGCAAAACCTATTAAAGATTTCTATGGTTAGCGTATTTTTCGACGACGCAATAATTGTAGGCGAGAATAATTTTGATCATATAGTTAATCTAGAAGAAGATTAAGAAGATTTGATAAAGCTGGGCTGACAACGACGACAGATAAAAATAAAATTGGAGAAAAGTCAGTTACTTATTTGGGTCATGATTAACGAATTCGGAATTCACCTTACAGAAGATAAGATTATTGCCATAAAATATTGTAAAACACCTTCAAATGTGAAAGATCACGTTCGCTTCTTGGGATGATAAATTACCAAGAGTCGTATATTCAAAATTTACATTCCATTTATGCGCCTTTACGCCGACTAACTAAAAATGTTAGTTAGCTTTGGTCAGTTAAAGAAAATGAAATATTTAAGTAATCTTTGAAATTAGATGCTCAAATAAAGACATTCTTGTTCTAAGAAAATATTCTCTAGTTGCCCATTACTAGAAATTTAAAATATAGCATGCTACTGCATTATTATCAAATAAAATAAGCTACTTTAGTAATACGGGAGTAAACAGATAGGGTCATTTTAATTTTTCTGTAAAATCTCTACATTCCTACCCCATTTCATGGAAAATATGATAGAGACTGTTATATTTGAGGTCATAAGATATATAGAGTATGAGATGTGGAAGGAAGAAAGGGAAGTCATAAGATTTGGTGTGCCGGCTTGTTCTAGATTAGGATTCTTAACCAATCATAACTTCGAAAGCGCGATTGTTATGTGTTTTTTTTTATTAACCAATCTGGTGTTTTAGAATCAGTGTTGTCAAACGCTATTTAAAGTACTGCGTTTTACAACGAAATTTATAATCTGTGTTAAAAAAATTTGAAGATAAAAAAAATGTGATTAATTTGGCAAGAGCAACAAACTAATCAAACATTATGGAATTAAGATTTAGTAAGGATGTACTTTTCTCAAGGGGAGGATGGCAAAAAAGAAGACAAAATGGGTTAAACATGTAGGAAGTATTATAATTGTTATATCATTTTATAAAAAAAAAATTGATCAAATTTTGTTGGAAATAAATCTGTAAGAGACAATAGATTTGAAGGTTCCACGTCAATTCGGCGCACGACAATTCGGCACGGCGAAAATTCAGCGCACGACAATTCGGCGTGGCGACAAATCAGCGCAGCGTCAATTCGGTGCGGCGACAATTAAGCGCGTATCTATTATAGTTGCATATATATTACTTAGTATAAAAAAATAAGGATGATGAAATCATTTTGAATGTTGGTCCTATTAATTATTTCTCCATATTTATTGTTACAAAAATCTCAATTTTATTTACTAAATGTATATCGAAAAAAATTAACTAATATTTATACCTATTTCTTTAATGGACCATTTTACCACATTATAAGGTATGTTGATTAGTAGTCAATATTATGTAAGTCTGGAGATTTTGCGCCTAAAAGGAAAAAAGAAAAAGAAAGATTTGACCTCTATCTCTAATCTTTTATATTATTTTGGCTACAATCTTAATCAACCGTTTTTTTTAAATAGACCCAAAATACCCCCCCCCTGATAAGTACTATAATGTTAAATCTTAAATACCCTTTTCACGCCTAATTTTAGATAATAAAAAAATAAAATAAAATTATAAAAGTTTAAAAAAATAATATACCCCCATGATAAGTAACATGTCCAAAATCTCGGTTTACATAACACTGGCTACTAATCAACATACCTTATGTGATAAATTGGTCAACCAAAGAAATAGGTATAAATATTGGTTGTTAATTTTTTTTGATATTACACATTTAGTAAATAAAATTGAGATTTTTATAGAAATAAATATGGAGAAATAATTAATAGGACCAAAATTCAAAATGATTTCTATTTAATCATCCTTATTTTTTTATACTAAGTAATATATAATAAATTGCAACTGTAATAGATAAGCGCTGAATTGACGCCGCGCCGAATTGATGTTGGGCTGAATTGTCGCCGCGCCGAATTTTCCGCGCCGAATTGACGTGATACCGGATTTGAATTTGATACAGAGTATAAAAAAAAACTATTCAAAAATTTTTTGAGCAAGTATCTTTCAAAAATCTTGAAATATATTTTATGCATAAAAAAAATAAGATTTACTTATAAAATATTTTTTTACAAAAAAAATATTTGTAATTTTTAGTAAGAATTTGCTAGAAAATCTTACTTCTTTAAAAAAAATGTCTAAAGATTTTTGCTGAATTTTTTTTTATTCAGACTCAGAGAGGTATAAAAAAAATAGGATTTTAGTTTTGGAAAGAATTTTTTTAACCCTTGTATAAAGATAATTTGAATTGATAAATAAGCAACAAAATGTTTCTAATAAAAAAAAAGTTATCTATAATGGGAAAAAAATTTGTATTTTTGTGTGATTAATCAAAGTAAAATTCGTAATGGAAATATAACCTATTGAAAAAAAAGGTAAATTAAAGATGTGAATGACACAATAATGAGTTATAAAAGGTATATTTTATATAAGAAACAATTTTAGGCATAACCAAGGGTGAATTCCTTTTTTTGAGAATCTTGTTTATAAAAACATAATTTTTTTTAATTCTCTATTACCGATCGCAAATAAATATTAAATTATCATATTTGAAAATTATGAAATCAGATAGAATGCTGAATTGAGATTAATAAAAATTTATATTTTTTTTAAAAAGAAAATGCTAAATCCTTTAAAAAAAACCTTTGTTATAATTTGATTATGATTCTATTGAAAGAATAGAATTAGACAATTGTGTTTTTTAGTAACCTATATACAAATTAAATGCACAGTCAGAAAGAAGCTTTAATGCATATAATAGCTATGTAAATACGATAAAGAGTTAGGAGGATATCATGTGTAGAATTAAGGGGGGGGGGGGGGGATTTGCATTTCCGGAAATTTTTATAACCTTATATTAACTAGATAGGATTTGATTAAAACTTTATGTGATTTCTATTTTTGCATTCCCCGAAGCAAACGAATCAAAAATCAATGCTTCTAATATCCTAATAAAAAAAATACTACTAAAATGGAAATTTTTATTCAAAATTTAATTTATTCATAAATAATTATATTACATATTTTCGCGTTATACATTTAATAATTTATATAATAACAGAACTGTTAAACAAAAAATATTAAAATTGACAAACAGTTTTAATTTAAGATTGGACTGGTTCATTGTGTTTGAGTTTTCGCAACTTGGCTCTTCTGTTTTTGAACCATATCTATTTTATTTTATAAAATTAAATGAATTATTTAGTAAGTAAGATTATACATCTTAATATAATAAAGTTTTTAAAAGAAAAAAAAACAATTTTTAAAACGAACCTCGATTCTTTCCTCTTTCAAAAATATGGTGGCTGCCAAAAGTTCCCGCTCCGTTATATCGGGATACTGAGATCTGCAAAAGGAATCTTCCAAAACTTCAATTTGATTTTCAGTAAATATGGTTCTATGCCTACGTTTTCTGCGTTGTTTTAAACCCTCTTTCAAATCTAGTAAGCTTATATCCTTGATCTGAGTTTTCTCTGGCGAAGTTGTTAATGCTATGTCATCAAAATTAGTTTCTAAATTGTATGGATATTCCTTCTTATTATTGAGTGAGGGGTCTATTTCATAAGGAGTAATCCTTAAATCCTTTGGACTCGGAGTATTGCAATCTAGCGATGATGATGTGGTACTGCTCCCGGGTGAGACAGTATCGGAGTTTGGAAACCTTCTGAGAAAATTAGCTGGGTAACTACATTGGGTCTGTAGGTAATACGAAGCCAGAAGGTTCATGTAAATATAAGGATCATAAATTTTATTTTTGGCCTTCAGTTGTTTCAGCATTATTGTTTTAACGTTATTATCTTGGCAATTGAGTTTGTTTAAAGTGATCAAATTAGAGATATCACAAGGAGAGACATAATTTCTTTGCAGACTATATTCCGAGTCATTTGGTCTGTTACCGATATTCATATTGCATTGACTAAGGTGGTAGGGGTATGATGGTAGATACATAGTTTGGAATGTATTCATTTTAGTATTTATAAAATAAATCACGCAAAGGAAAAAAAAATTTTAAATTCAGATTCAGTAAATTTTTAAAAAAAATTGTGTAATTTTTTTTTCTACCAGTTAAAAATTGGTTAAATTATATTTATATTAATTAAGAAAAGCACATTTGATTTAACAAATATATTATATTTGTATAAGGTATTAACTCAATTACACCCTCGCATTTTCATTCTTAAATTATAATGTTATCTTAAGTGTATTATACTATGACCAATAAAGATGATAGAAATATTGTAATGTTTTTTTAAAGAAAAATTACATGACAATAAGCCCCTCTTTTTTTTTATTATTATTTAAAAATAAATATATTTTTTTTTGAAACAATTAAACAATTGATGAGTATATTAGTTTAATTAAATTAAAATTACAATTTAACAGATATCTGGTGTAGCTCTATTACAAGAAATAATGCTATTAATTTTATAATTAAGATCTATCTATTGTAAATGAGTTACCTTTTATTACTTACTACCTACTTAATAATGTTTACTTTAAAAGTAAAATTCAATTAATTTTTATGAATAGTGGACAATGAAAAAGGATTTTAAAGTGTTAGACAAATAGGCTCCACATTTTATTTATTTTATAAACCCTCCCCCACCCCTCTCCAACAACAATAATCGTTTTTTTTGGTATGGTCATTCTTATTTGTAATAATTTCCTCAGGTGTGCAATTTAATTTAATAATTTAAATTATAAGAAGTTTGAAGATGATATAATCATTATTTTTTGTCTTTTTGTTAGGAGAATGATGAAATATTTTAAAAAAAAATTAAAACATCCGATATATTATAAATTTGAATGAATTATATAATTATATCAAAATCCTTAGGTCTGATTTTGGCTAAGGTGGAATCGTTAATTATAAGTAAATCTTATACATATAAAATACGTTATTTTTATTTTACTGTTACCACATACATCCTAGGGTGCGATGGGAGAGTTTTATCCTAGTTCATCCGCCTTTAAAAAAATTTAACCAACCCTCCCACTAGTTAAAAAGGATTTGCCATTTACATATTTCCCACCCATTGTTTAAATTTTTTTAAATAGATCTCGTATAGCATTTACTAATATTAGGGCATACCCACCCTTTAGAATTAGGGGTGCTTTTAGTTCTTATAAGAGTAGAGACAGCTGTTTTGGTATATTTGTAATATTAAAGATAGTTTAAAAATAAAAACCTTGGGGGGGGGGGGGGGTTATGAAAAAAAAAACTATTTTGCTTTTAGCACACATAAATAATAAGATGCAGAGATATCTCATTTTAGTTAACTTAGATATTTGAAAAATAAAAATGGTTCAAATTATCTGTTTTAAAAAAATATCGTTTATCTTAGCTCTAAGAAGCCAGTCTCGGCTCAACAAACATAAATAATTGTTATAAGCGATATCAAGGTAACCCCCCCCCCCATGCTTTAAGTAGAAATCTTTTTTAAGAATCTACTTTTAGATTTTTTTTAAAAGGAACCATAATTATGCGCAAAAATATTTAACTTGTATTTTTTTTGATTTTAAAAAAAGATTTTCTAATCTCATAGGCAAAATGTCCGATTTTGTGTTTACGAATAGGATCTCGAATAATAAATTTAATTTGTTTACAGGAATAATAAATTGAGCAAATAGTATTCGAAAAAACTTTAAATTAATGATATGCATCGGTCCTAATCTTTCAACCAATCCTGAACGAAATTTTTTTAAATTTATCCCAAAAAGTCCGAAACAATACAAAGATAAAAATTATTTGCCCTCCCGGCCCGAATTTATTTAAATAAAGAATAATTTAATTTTTTTTTCTTTGATTGTTAAAAAAATATTCTACAAATAAAAATATTAGTGACTTGTTTCTTGCAAGAATTTTAAAACTTAACCATTTATGACAAAATGTAATATATTAAACCGGCCCTTAATTTTTTTTAAAAAAAATATTAGGCCCGACCTAACCCGAACCAAAATTATTTTTTAAAAATAGACCCAGCCCGGGCCGTGATTTGCAGATCTTTACTTTAAATCACATTCTATCATCATTACAAAAAAAATATGATTTCTATAAAGGTTAGAATTTTGAATTACTATTAGAATGAATATAATACAACTTGAAAATATTGTAATAAAACATAATATTAAAGAGATCTTTAGACCCGGTCATTAATTAGGTATGAAGTGTCCAACTATTCAAATACGAATAATAATGAATCGAATACGAATAATAATAATAATAAATCGGGTAAAAAGAATCGCTTGAATATCTATTAAATCTAAAATAATAATCTGATTCTAAAATATGAAATATTATTTAGGAACTATCAGAAATCTGCAATGCCTGAACCGGCAAAAAAATAAACTGGCAGGGCAAAAAAAATTTTTGATTATATATATTTGATGAATCCTGATATTTCATAGAAGTGGTAATCCATAAAGTTAAGGGTTTTTTTAATTTAACCACTCCCCAAGATTATAAATGGTTGTTAATTTTGGTGTTCAAAAACATGTATTAGGTTTAGGACTTTTATTTAAAAATAGGCAAATTTAGTAAAAAGATAGAAACTGAGTCGGGCAAAAATTTGACCAAGTATTAATTTAATTTTCACCGGGCCAGGTTAGACCTAAAAATTTTGCCATTTGAAGACCTCTAATTCATATAACGTTAGAGACTTCATAAAAAGTTATAATAATATAATATTTAATTAATTTGAAAATTTATATTTGTAGTAAGTAAGTTTCAATAAAATTACATTTAAAATAAATATCCAACTCGAAGGGTAAATATTTTTGGCAATATTGATTAATATTTTAATAGTCTATAATAAAATTCACCTGCTAATTTTTTTTAAGACTATAATTTTATTAATTACATTTTAAACACGCTTCAATTAAACCAATTAGTTTTACAAAATCCTTTCATATATAATCCACTGAACCTATTTAATTTAAATGGTTTTTATACAATAGATTTATTAAGTATAAAATTTAAAGCGATTTTTTAATGACAAAAAAAAACATTGATAAGTTTAATATTTTAATTACTGTATTTTTAATTTATTTGTAATCGATTAAACATAATTATCTTTTTATAATGACCATATTGACCATTTTTGGCAGAGTTCACGACAATTATTTTGTTTTTCGGGATTTTCTAAGAAAATCAAAGTGAGATTACATGTTGTTAAAATTATTCAAATAACCAAATATTATCCGAATAAAGTCAATATTCGAATCATTAATAAAGTCGGCGCGATAATTCAGAAGCATATCTAGGTAATGTAGATCAGCTTTTAAAATTGAAATTTGATAGTTATTTCTACTATTATATATGAAGCAGCCCTAGTGGCATAGCCAGGACTAAGCCGTAGGGGAGAGGTGTATTTTGGGGAGATTTTGAATTTTTTCTTAACTCCCATTTTGCCCGGCCTTTATTGATCTTTCCGAGGTTATCTTTAAATCACCTCCATTGAAGTTAGCTTATCAATTGGGAGTATTAATTCCTGAATATGTCAATGTTTTGTGCTTCATTAGTGTCTGACTTAACCAGTATAGTTGCCAGAATAAATGAAAAATAAGTAGCAAAATTTTGGTCAAACTAAAAGCGACTGAAAGCATTATTCTAAAAATTTCTCAATTGTAAATTAATTTAATCCAATAAAATGAAAACTACCAACGTCACCCTTTGAGCGTGAAGTTAGTAAGTTTTGTGAAAATCTGAAATTTATACGGATTTAGTAGAAAATTTTATTGTTTATTCTGTTTGATAGATGACAAAGGCGAAAAGAATTATTGGTTAAAAATAAAAAAATGTTAAAATTAGCATTATACCACGTTAATATTTAGTTATTTGCTTTTTAATCAATTATGCCAGCCATAAAAAAATAATAACCGAATTACGTAAATACAAACTATGATATCACGTCTTATGCAAGATATAAAAGCATTATCTCTAATATTTATGTCAATATCATAAATTCTAGTGCTTTAACCCATTTGGTAGATAGTTTAAATAAAAACATCATTGGCAATATAAATTGCCAAGTTTGACATGTTAGATGGAAAATTATATAAGCATTGAGCATAAAATAAAGCATGATAATTGCCTACTAATTCATCAATCAATTTTTCTATTCAATAAATAAAAACCAGTTATAAACGAACAAAAAAAAGGTGGTACCTTCGGCTAAGTCTTAAATATCGAATTTTAAATTACGATTAAAAATCAATTAGGTTTACATTGAGATTTTCCCCCTACATTAAGGTTTTCTGCGATTTAAAATATTTTTGAATTTTATGATTACATTTACATATGTTATTTGTTCTTTTCAGTTTATCTAATAAATATTTAACAATATAAATTATATTATCTCTTATAATAATTATCAAATTTTTTGTAACTCACGACTAAATGCAATAACTGATATTTAGCAGCTTAGCTATGCCCTCATAGCACAGCGTTATGCTTGCACGGGTTCTCAAATTTTGATGTTATTTATTTATTTTTAAAGTTGTCTTTTTTGGTTGAAATTAGATATGTCCAGTTTAGGTATCTTCGTCACAGCTAATCAAAATTTATCTAATAAGATGTTACCTCTTTCCCTTAATGGGTTAGTTAGTCATAGGGGGTCAGTAATATTAAAATCAACACTAAATATTGATATGAGTATCAAGTCAAATCTTATTATTTAAATATCTTTTGATTGAAAGTATTCACTCTTGGTTTTTGGGTTGAACTTGGTTTCGAGGGAGAGGGGAAAGTGGGGGGGGGGGGGAGGGGGTTAAAAAATAAAAATTTGATATGGGTATTAAATAAAAGGGAATTAAAATGTCTTGAATATAATAATAATTAACTCTAAATGGGTGGGTCTAAGTCTTGAGGGGTCAAGAATATTTTTATCAGCACAAAATATTATGGGAATCAAATAAACGCGAATTAAAATACTTTTTGACTCAAATGATATTTTGCTCTTGGTCTTGATGGGTTGAATTTGATCTTTGGAGAGGGTAGGGTGGTCCATTATAAAATTAAGGATAACTTTCTGTCCCCGTCATTCCTGCCTCAATCCCTTTTGCTTATACCACTTCATGAATTCCAGAAAAACTTATATATTATAGATCTGCAAAGCCCGGTCCGTTTCGGCCAGGGAACATTTTGCACAAGTATCTCGGCTTGTCTTATTTTTTAAAATTTTCCCGGCACGCGGAGTGGGCTTTGTATATCTCCAACATGTATAATACATTATTAAAAAAAGGTCACTCAATAAGATATAAACAATTTATGTTTGATAACAATCCCATGTCTTTGTTGGGAGCTTGGTTCTTATTATTTACAGTTAGCTAAAAATCACCATGTTAATTTTTTTTAAACAAAATGTGTTTATACCCAGATTTTGCCCAAGCTTTTTTTTCAATGTCCTGCCTTCCATTTGGGTCCTGGAGATAAATAAAATGGGCAAATACATAATATCACGACATTCAAAGTCCAAATAGCGTAATGGGAGCCATATCTTTCATGTCCATACTCCAGAAAACCAAGCATAGAACCTTGATCGACATGTTAGACATATTTTTTAATCTGTTTCAGGATGTGTCATTTCTGTCAGTGAGATTGCTTTTGCTATTTTAATATGAAATATTGAGCTTAATGATTGTATTTTTTCTGAAGTAAAATGCTCTAATAATATGGCTAGTTATTTACACTATATTGATTCTCTATTTTATCTCACAAGGAACCATTTGAAAGGATAAAATAAAAGGTGCTGATACATTCTTACTTCAAAACTCCTCCATGGTTCCCTCCCCATAATTGAAAAGAAGGGCTATGCTTCTAACAAATATTCAAGTTATTAAAAAAAATTTTTTGCCGAATGTAATTATAATATACTAATACCGGATGGCTCAAATAAAACATCATGTTATAACGATTTTTTTAAAATAAGTTTGTGAAAAATTATATAACTTAAAAAAAACATTAAGTTTCCACTAACATGTCAGAATTATCATCAAATTTAAGATGGAGTAAAATGAAATAAAAACGATTACCACATAAATTGATGAATTTAAAAGCTTATATGAATTTAAAATTTAGTCATACTATCGTTTTTTAATATTTGAATTATTATAACCAAAAAGGAATTTATAAACTGTATTAAAATATTTGTTAAGTCTCTGATGATATTTTATATTAAACCAATTAAATATATATCTGCAAAGCGAATGATACTTTTAGCAGCGTCTACATGAGAAGGGGGTAGAAACAGTTTACATTCGATTTTTCTTAAGGGAAAGGGGGGGGGGGTAGTGGCATTTAATGGGGTTAGCATAAATTTATTGGGGGGTTATCTATTAAATTTTTTAATGAAATAGGACAAAATATATTGCTATAGAAATTAAAAGTTTATTATGGACTTATTGTGATACAATGATATTGCTGATCATCTACCAAACCTATATATTGCAAACAATCATGGAAATTATTTTCTAAATAAAACTTTCAGCTATCCTTTTAAATGTAATTTAAAATGATTTCTCAGCAAACTCAAAGGCTATAATAATGCATGCATTGTTTATTAGGGGTTTTTTTAAAAATTCAATCATGATTTAAGAAATAATTTTTAATAATCACAATATTTTGATAGTTGGTAGTAGAGTTAACCCTTCAATACGATGAAAAAAATGACGTTAGTACTCGGGTGGGGTTTAACAGACCCCAATTTCAAATGTATATATATCCAGTTATATTCATTATTTGATATTTGGATATAAGATAGAATAACCTTAAGCATGATAAAATATTTAAATATTTTTATTTCTTAAGCCTAGATTAAAGATTATGAGAACAATTATAATTTGTGCCAAAATTTTTTAAAAAAGCTTACTTTTTTTAAATTTCAAATATAAAATTTAAAAAATAACTTATCCATCAAATAATCATGATAATTCTTAATATATCTTTATTCTTCAAAATAAAAAAAAATTACACTAATAGATTCAAATATAAAAAAAATATAGAACATTGAAATATGCTAAATTGACATGCAAAACATTAATTACATAAAATATTAATGTGTTCTAAACATAAATTTATTTTACACATTTGACAAAAATATTTTGTTTTTTTATAAGGAGTATAGTTTTATGCTATATTATGATGGTTTATTTGGCATGTATTGCCTGAATGGGCATTTACCACGAAATGCTGGAAGCATTTCATCTAGGGTTGCATATTCTGATATTGTATAGGATCTGTAGCAGTCAACAAATTCTTGAAAAATATTTCTAATGTGGGTTGCTGTTGTCTACCATTTTCTCTCTTCTCTTGATAATATGTCATCAAATCTTATTGTATGAATTAGAAATCTGAATCTTTTGAGTGTCATTGTTTCTCTAAATATCTCAATTCCAAACCCATCAGATTTCCATAAATCTGACATATTTTGATGATTTGATTTGAAAATTCCAGCTAGATAAAGAATTCCCAATAATGTCTTGAATTCTATTACATCAACCTCTTTAGTAGAACTTTCATAATGATCAGTGTAGTTTTTACTTATAATTTTAATTTTTTCCTTTGTGATAAATAATTTCTTCAGTCATTTTTGGTGATATGAACAAATCAAAACATTTTTCTGGGGTGTCAGCTTCTTTCCCATATTCTTTTACTCCTGGCATATGAAAAATTAAATTTTGTTGACGCATTCTTACTCTACAATTCTTTTTCCATTGAGTCACCTATTTTTAGCTAATTTTATAGAGAAATAGATACGATAAATAATTCCATATTTACCTAAATAATATTTAAGTTTATTGTCTGTTTCAACTAGCATATCTTCTTCTTCATCTAATTCAGATTGTGTGTCATGATCACTATCATAGATAAAATCTTCTTCCTTATTATCAATTACATAGTCATAATCACCTCAAATAAAATGATATTACATCTTAAATAATTTTTTATTTACTATCAGAATCTGCAAAAATCATAATATATGATAAAAATAATTTAAGAAATGAGCCAGATGTTGAAAATAAGAATAAAATAACTCCACCAAAAAAATGCTTAAGTTTTCTTTTTCATATATCTCAATCAAAATAAAAGATATTTAAATTTTGTTTTAATAAATTTTATAATATAGTAGTATATATTTATAATTTCAAAAATTTTTTAAAAGAAATTTCTTAAAAAATTACAAATTTATTCTGGTGGGGGTCTCACAAACCCCAATCAATCACAAAATGCTTATATCTTAAAAACTACTCAACCGAAATATATGAAATTTGGAATCTAGATTCTAGGATATATTTGATGAAGCTATCGAAGAATCCAGATCATAATATATAACCGTTTTTATGTAAGATCATTTCTAGCATGCCTGGGGTTTCATATACCCCACCAGAATATTGAAGGGTTTAATTTAAGTTATTTTTTTTAAATTTATGAAAGGAGTACCATTATATCTAAAACGTAATTAATAATGGAAATAAATCGCCTCAAAAGGCGGCGGAAATTATTTAGGGGGAAAGCATAGGTTTTAAAGGGGGGTTTGCAAAACTTCTGTCATGTAGACGCTGCTCTCTGGACTCTTCATAATTCCCCATAATTTCTCCTATATTCTATTTAATTGCTATTGCGGTGCCTTTATTCTACTATAAAACAAGCATTTTTTGCAGATTTTGACATATAACATCGGGCCCTCCTTTGAAACTCATTGTTTTGCTAAAAATAGCATATTAGTTGTTTAGCAATTACTAAAAGGGAAATTTAAGCGAAAACAATGCAATCAATATAACATAACTCATTAAATCTTTTCCAGTCATTTGACCCCAGAGAATTGCGATTTTAGGAATTTTAATACCTTAGTCTAAATGCCTTACCTTGTCCGTGATATACTTGTTGATTTCTCAGCTAAAATTAATTCTTACTTTACTTTGCCGTAGACCAGGCCAAACCCCTGAACCGAAATACTCTGACGGTAAAAAGGTGATTTTAATGCCGATGATTACCAATATATAGGAAATTTTTCGGAATAAGGTTTTTATAGCTGTCTTTGTAAAAAAAATAGCAGTATATACCAGAAATCCAAACGCGGGTTTTTATCTGATAGAGGATCACTCTATAGATCTGTCAATCTAACTTCCTGAATCCCAGAATTCTACTTTTGAATCATTCCTTCTTTTGAAATATTTACTTATATATGAACCCATGATTCTCATAATGCTTCTGTAATTTTTTATCAGTAAATAGATTAGATACTATACATTACAAATATTTTATAATCGAAATCGTTTATAAGTAAAACACTCGAATATTGTTAGTGTTGTTAAACTACTAGATTTAGCCAATTTCAAATTAAAATTTTCACCAAGATAATATAACGCAAATATTGTTTGTTAATATAAGTCCAAACCTTCCTGCCATCTATGAGCATAATCTTTAGACTTGCATAATATATTTTTGGTTTAGCCGTTTAAGATCGAGCCTTTTAGCAACACTAAATTTATAATTATAGTGAATATATATACATAATATATTTACTATAATAACCTTACCCCCGTGGTATAAATTTGGCTCTCACCAAATGAACAGTTTTTAAAAATAAAATTATTGCTTTTACAAAATTTTGTTACTAAAATATCAATATATTTCATTTAAAAACTCAGAACTTTAAACACAAAATAATCTATTTTTAATGAAAGTATAAAAATGTGTCTTAAACATATGTGTGATATTTATAAAGGTTTATTATTAGGTTTCCTCGATGTTTCTAACTTTTCGAATTTTTTAAGCAGGTTTGGGATATAACAGTAAAACATCTGATATATAACTTTTAAAGGTTTGGTTTGCTTAAAAATGTGCTTAAATTTAAAAAATTGTAAATTTGGTTTTATAGGAGGGGGTAATATGGCACAAGCATTAGCTAAAGGCTTTCTGAAAGCTGGTAATAAATATCTATTTTTAAAAAAATATTATGGTATAATTGGTTGTAAATTTTTTTTTTAATTTTTTATGCTAAGGATTTTTCAGCAATAATTATTTTTTGGTATATTTATTTTAATACTACCAAACTCACACTTATCGAGTATCTTGAAATATAAATATTGTTATTTGAAAAATCTAGACTATATAAAAATATTTAACACTTTAATTGTATAAATGTAATGTTTTAGATCTCATCAAAATTGAAAACATAAAGTGCAGCACCCCTTCGAAAGCAAAATCATTCCAAAATATTATTGGGGAACAAGTTGAAACCTTTATTGATAACACTGAAGTATATTATAACAGTGATATTATTGTTTTAGCTATTAAACCTCAATATCTAAAACAAGCTATGGATTCTATAGAACTTAGTGCAACTAAAAAGTTCAAAGATCCCTTTATAATATCTATAATTGCTGGTATAACATTGGAAAATTTATCAAAAGTATGTTAACTAAGTAATGTTATTGATAAAATAAAAAATATATTTGAATGATTTTTTATGATTAGATGCTTCCTAACAATAATCAAGGACAGCTAAAAATTGCAAGGGTTATGACAAATACACCAAGCTTATTTGGAAAGGGAATATCTGTATATTCCACAAATAGCAACTGTAATATAAAAACATTATGTAAAGAAAAAAATATAATTGATTGTGACAACATCCTTACCACTTTGTTTTCAAGTGTAGGGATATGTGAACCTGTTCCCGAAAGTTTGATGAACTCTTATGGGGGATTGATAGGCAGTGGGCCAGCTTATGTATATTCAAATTAAATTTTTATTTATAAACAGCAGAGTTGTTGAAATACCTAGATACAAAAATGCCATATCTGTATCTAGATACATTTTTATAACAAATATCTATATCTTTTGAGGTACATATATCTGTTTTTAAATATATTTTGATATACTGTAATTTAACATTTTTTTTATCTTAAAAATAAAAATATTTGAATGCAAAATTCATTTTATCACAAATGAGCATATAATATATTAAATATTAAGATTAATATAATAAAAAATTAAAAAATATATATTTACAAAATATAAAAACTTATATATAAAATATAAAAATTTACATATTAAAAAATATATTAAAAATTCATTAAATATTATTTTTTCCCCATTTGAATCTATATATATCAAGATTGTGAAGGATATTTTTCTCATGTAAAGGAATATATATAATTCCTTGCTTAGCCATGACACCCAAATTATTAAAAACAATACCATTGATGCACAAAATTATTTTAAGCAAATAAATTTATTTAGAATTTTTTAATATATAAATATTCCATTAACTTTTAATTAACAAATTATAAGCTTAATATATAAAAAAAATTTTTTACAACTCGCTTTAAATTAGAATTTATTCGAAAGAATGATAAAAATTGGGGTATTGTCATTTTTTTATAACTTTTTTTATGGTATTTGAATTGAATGAGAACAAAATATTAAAATAAGAACAACGATGATCCCTGTATATAAATATGGCAAAAGTTGTATCTGTATCTAGATCCATTTTAGGCGATGTATCTGTAACTAGATTCATTTAAAAAGTACCTTCTAACAACTCTGGTACACAGCATTAAAAGTAGAATATATAGGTTATTTAAATTTTATGCAGTCAAGTTGTAATTTATAAAGTAGTTTCCAAATTCAGTTGTGTCATTAGCCTTTACAATTTCAAGGCTCAACTTAAAAACCGGAATTTTAGGTATTTTATTTTTTAAAAAACCACAAGACTTGAGTCCCCTCCCTCTAATTAGTGAAGGCACATGCGAAGAGCGGGGAGGCAAATCCTGCCCCCAAAACCAAAAAATTTAGATGCTGTCTAAAATATTTTTTAAAAAATATTACGGATTCGTATCACTTATCGCATATATATTTATTTTACATTTATTTATCACATTCACAGCAGCAGAAATAAATACGCTGCTAATTTATTCTGTCAATTAATACCAATTTCAAATTTTCCTTAGCATTATCATCTATCATTTTAAAATTTCCCACTAAATTATTTGAAACTTGTTCTAATTTAAAAAAATTTGGGCAAATGTATGACAAATTTTATAATATGTCATTGTTGAGTCAAAAGCAGATCTCTGAATTTAATATTTAAATAACTCGACTCGCAGCATGGCAAACTCATCGTTTCAGTATTAATATAAGGATCAGTTGGAGAATGCTATAAAATAGATCTCTTTATCTCCCTCTTTGATACTTTTATAGCTCAGATGAATGAACAAATCTTCAAATAATATTACTGCAGAATTCTTCCGAATCTATTTCAAATATGAGAAAAAGTTAAATATTTGGTAGATTTTTATTGTGAGGATTTTAGTATCCCACGATGCATTACTATCTATGCAAACTATGGCATAAAAGGTTAAATATGGTTTATAGTGTTCTTTAAAAATGCTATAGATGCTTAGCATAATTTTGAACAGATTTTAGACTATTTGCATAATATTATATTGGCAATACCCATTAGTACTTCTATCAATGAAAGATTATTTTCTTCTTTAACAAGAATACAAATATACCTGAAAAGTAATGTCGTTACCGATTTGAGCCGATTTTTAAAATGACCAACTCAATTCGTCAGTATTGCAATATCCTCGAGATTTCGCTAATAGATGTTCACACCTATCTATGACGAAAATCTTAAGGCTCGCATAATATTTCTCTGGATAGAATATTGAGTTAGCCGTTGTTAAAAATCGGCTTAATTAGAGCCGTTTAACAACATTACTGAGAGAAGTAATACCTCTGAAAACAGGTTGAATGAGTGTTAGCCTTTCTTAATACACATAGAGAGTTTATACCAAGCACCAATGAAATCATTGAGAAATTAGCTCAATCCCAAAGATGATTGAATTTTACATTATAAATTTATAATGATCTTAATTATATTTTTTTCTCATTTTTTTAATACACCATATTATTTTACATTAATACTTTTACAACATGCAATAATTCTTAAGAAAATTTGTCAATATTTCCAACGTTTATTTATTTTTTAAAATATTTATATATCGAATTTTTAATGCTTAAATGAATTGAATTTTTTTTACAATGTTTTTTTTTCGTGACAATTTTATAGTGATTCATACATCGATTATATATATCAGAGACATGCAGACCCGGCCCGAGTGCATGTCCGGGCGTATTTTAATTATTTCAAAATATATCAACTGGCCTAAAGAATTTTTGTAAAAAAAATACCTGGGCCGGGTCAGGCCGTATATTTTAACCAAATATTTGAAATCATCTTTATCATCTAAAAATAAATATTAAATATTTAAAAAATATCCGAGCCGCCGAATTTTTATATTTAAATTCGGGCCAGGCCGTGCAAATGGTACCTCTGCAGGTCTCTGAAATACATTTTATATTTTATCATTAATATATATTTAAGTTTGCGTATTTGAAATTGTCAATATTATATAGGCATTGGTCTTGATAAATTTCTGAAATTTACGATATTTCTTAAATAACTCCTAGAATAATTCTGAAAAATTTAATCCCCCACCCCCTAATAGTGAATTGCATACGTGCCGATGTTCTATATATTATATATATACTTCTGGCTTAAATATATATTTTTTAATGAATCAGGTTTTTATAATGATAGAAGCATTAGCAGATGGAGGTGTTAAAATGGGGATTCCCAGAGCAACAGCTTTAAAGTTTGCAGCACATTTATTATTAGTAAGAATAACATTTATTTTGTTATTTTTTAAAAAAAATTATGAATGTATAATATACTTTCTCATTCAATATATGACCTTTTTTTTTGTTTTGCAATATAATGTTGATGTAAAACTAAAGGGTAGATAGATGATGATAATTTAAGAAAAAACATGACATAATAAACCTAATTATATCATAAGTCATTATTTAATCATGTTATGAGGCCTTCACTGCATTTACTTCGGATTGAATTTATACCATTCTCCATAATTGCATCATATCTCTTTAATTAATTGTCTTCAATATGGTATTGGTCAATACTCATGGCATTTCTATTGACTTATACTTTTAATTTTAACTGATGCTTAAATTAATAATTAACCCTTATAATTATTATTCAATGTTTATATATTATTTTTAAATAATCAATTAATTTTAAACTGAACGGTAAAAAATTAAATAATAATATAAACAATTAATTTTATACAAATAATTTATATTTAAAAAACATTAATTTTAAACACAACTCATTTCTACCCTTTAACTTTGATACATTTAGGGGATTTTCTTATTCGAGGAGAATATCGCTTTTCCGGCGGTTCTGCCTCCACCATCCCTATCACGTCTGTCAAAAGTTCTGCGGTCGCAGCTATCGTTACCATGAAATGTTCATTTCTATAATAAACGGTTTTTTTAACTAATTCCTATTTTACCGAATCTGCAGATTTTATTAATTAATTGAAGTTTCCATGTTGTTATCGGCTCTGGTTTTTAAATGATCTGAATGCGTTCTCCATAATCCTTCTTCTCCTTTTATGAGATAGACATTGAACCAATCTGTTTACTTACTTGGACTGGATCCCACCATGGATCTCCCTGAAAATCTGTTTCCATTTCATCTCAATTTTTTTTGTATTTTCCACATAATCTCCTTCCTTCTTCATCGTATTGTATGTTTAGTTTATTTAACTAGCCTTGTGGTTCAAAATTTAGTATATGTGATGCGGTTGAAGATTTTGTGATTGTATGCGAAGTATTTCTGTAGGCGAATAGAAATTTATCCCTTGAGTTACGCGTTTTTCTAAGAAATTTTTAAACGTTTGTAAAGATCTCTCGCCTTCAATATTAAAATATGTTTGATTAGTAAGTTTTTGCAAAATTCTTTAAATATTTTTCCCTGAAATGGCGGTCGGTTATCGATCACAATTGATTTTGGGGTTCTGAATCTTCTAAAAAATTTGTTTAAATATTGTATAGCTTCTATACTATTTGTTGAATTGAGTAACATTATTTCTGACTATTTGCTATTACTATCTATAATTTTTAACCAAAATTTTCATTTAAAAGGCCCAGCAAAATCTAGATGTAGTCGTGTCTATATTTTTCTACAAATTTTTCATTATCATTATTTACTGTTGGCCACATTGTAAGCCAATGTTTCATACGTGTCATTCCCTGATGTCCTTGGTATAAAAGGTTCGATACTGATTCTTATAATACTTTGGCACGATCACTCATAACCTCGTTGAAGATATCCTTTCTTTGAGAATTTCGTCTTTTTTTAAATATAACTATTTTATATTTTTTTTCATATATTTTCTTTGGCTAACTGTTAGTTACATACTATTAATAAGATTGGATCACTTGCGGTTTCCTTTTAGATCATATACTAGATATGTCTGGCAATTGTTCCCATTCAAAATTTTTCGTTGAAATCTGTTTTATTTAATCATATATGCTTCTATCTATTATATAATTATTTAACTATTTCTTTAGTTTTTACTTCTATATAAAATATTGTGAAATAAAGATATTTGAATAAAATCAATTTCTATTATACATTTAATTATCATAGTATATCTTATGACTTATAATTAATCATGTAATATGTGATTCATGATTGGCAAGATGGAAGGAGAAAATTGTTAGTGATTTATTTTGGCGAATAATTTAGCTATTGAGAGAAAGAATTTTTTTTTATTTAAAATTTACATTTTAACCTAAATTTAATTTATGTTAATTTTTTTTAGTCTAATTGATAATTCATAAATATTTTTTAAAAAAATTTAAACAGGGCTCAGCTGAACTAATGTTGCAAAGCGGAAAACATCCGGCCGAATTAAAAGACGCAGTATGTTCTCCCGGTGGAACTACTATAAGCGCGGTTCACGTTCTAGAGAAATTCGGAATCAGAAACGCTTTGATATCAGCTGTTGAAGCATCGACCACAAGAGGGCGCGATATATCTAAAGAGATTTAATTGAGAATAATAGAACCCTCTTATTTTTTTAAAAAAATATCAATTATACCGTGATATAAATAATAAAATTTGAATATATAGGGAAAAAAAATTTTTGAGTTTGTATGAATTCATAATTATACATAATATATTTTCTTTTGAAAGTTTTACACAAATGTACAAAATTGGATTATAATATTTGAAATGTTAATCGGCGACATAATAATTTAATAAAAAGCAATTTGAAAAAATTTTTATTTTGAAGTTTCAATAATAATTAGTAACTGAATTTTATTAGAGTAAATGAGCTGACTGCAGCGAGTAAAAAAACTTGATTTATTAATGAATATTAATCTAACTCTTTCCATCTAATATAGAGAAACTTTAGCCCACATAAGGCTTTTATAGTTTATACTCATTTCAAGTTGAAATTCAGGAAATAAAATTTCTAACTGATAAGCGCAGTTAAGTATATAAATGCCGAATCTTACCAAGTTTCAGGCACATTTTTAGCAGTCGTTTACTATATGTAATTTTATTTTGTGTGTGACATATAAATATTTTATCCTTATTTTTTGAAATTTATTATAAATTTTCTGACGAACAAAAAAATTGAAAGATTGTGATTTTACAGGATTATCAATTCATATTTTGACACCCATCAAAATATAGTTTTTTAAATATAATAGCCAATATATTTAGTTTTTCTAAGGGTTTTATTTATAAAGTATAGCACAACACTACTTTTTCCAATGCAAGTTAGACCAGAGCTGAAATTAGTACTAGATTTTGAGCCAAAATTGGCACATCCATAAATTATTTTATCGCAAATTTTGTTTTTATTGGGTTACATCAGCCGGTTCAGCCTAGAGTAGCTTTAAGGCTCAGTCAGCCTCGAGCCAAATTTTTAGCCACCCTTTCACCTTAAGCTCAATGATATTAATATTTAATAGTATTAATTCATCTATTAAAAGTTACTTATATTAAAGTTCAATAATGTCATTGGCCATAATAGTCGCCATAGAAAGACATTTAGACGAAATGTAACACTTTTTAATGCAATAAGCAGTCTACATTTTTTTATTAAATTATAGGGTTTTTTTGCCTTTATGCAGAATAAATATTAAATTAGAAAGCAAGAAAAATTTATTTTTCAAAATAAATAAGTTAAATTATATTTATCCATTTTGTAATCGAAAATTAAATAGGATAAACATAAACCTATAGTTAGGAATTTAATATAAAATATTAAAAAAATTATAAAATATTAATGTAAAAGTGAAGAAAAACCCTCAAAAATTGTATTTTATAAAATTAAAAATGAGCGAGTTGTAAAATGATGACAATAAAAAATCAACATATTGATGATTGCAATATTGAAAATTACAATCTGCAAAGTAGGCTCGACCCGAACCTAGGCCCTATTTTTTTCAAAAAAAATTGGTTCGGGCCGGGTCGGACCTATCATTTATTTAAAATAATTCGTATCTGACCAGGTCGGGGGAAAATTTTTGCAAGAAACAAGGCGGCAATATTTTTTATTTATTTGTATATTGATCAAAAACTTGAATATATTCAATGAAAATATTGAAAAAAAAATGAATCTCTTTATTTATATTAATTTACCAATCGGGTCGAGATGGGCTTGAAAAATAAGGGCCAGACACAAATCCCTAATTGAAATATTTGCAATAAAAATATTGACAGATTATATTCTTTACAAAGGTTTTTTTTAGTAATAAAAACTAAACAAAAAACAAGGTATATGTTTTAATCCTTTTTTCCCAAAAACAACAGTTTTTTAAAATGTTTTCTTCTATCTAATGTAATGAATTTTCCGAAATTGCAGTTGACCTTTAATAATGGTGTTGTCTGCACACCGATAGTAAATGACAACCCTTATAAAAAGTATGTCACCATCACGAATATACCTTAAAACCAATTATCTTTATTTGATTTGAATTTTGTGTCTTACAAATATGAATAACAAAATTATTCAATTCAAAAATTCGGAATCGAATAAAGGAAAATTAATTCTTTCGAATAATGTTTTTTATTCGTATTATTTGAAATTATTTGTAAATATTAGAAATAATTTGCAAATAAATTTTCATAAATATTTGAAGTCCACTTAACATGTTTTTTTTTGCGTAACTTATTATTTTTTTACTAAAGTTGTTAAACGGCTCTTTGAGCCGATTTTTAAAAACGGTTAACTCAATATTTTAGCCAGAAAAATTTTGCCTAAGCCTCGAGATTTCTCTAATAGATATCTAAACCTTTGTTCCTTACACAGACAAAATCCTCAGGCCTGCGTAATATTATTCTATTTGAAATATTGAGTTAGCCTTTTTTTAAAAATCGGCTCAAAACGAACCGTTTAACAACACTATTTTTTACCTTTTTTTTACATCTATAAATCACTTTTTTAAATTTTATTGATCCATTCATTTTTATGAATATATTTTATGAATTTAATTTAATCGAATATTCGACGAATATAATGTTTTTATTATTCGTATTCATATAAAATTATTTGATTACAAAATACTAATCGAACTCGAACTAATTCATGAGGTTATAACAACGAGTGATAATTGCTTAACACTTAAATCTTTGAACTTATATAATTGAAAATTTAAATGTCTTTATCATTCGCAATCGATAATAGATATAGGAATCCATAGACCTTATTTTTTTTATAATAAAATAATAAATAACTATAATAAAACAAAACAATTACAAAGAGAGGAAAGGAAGGACACTTACCTTTTAATTCAATAATAATATTTTAGGAAAGGAAGAGTTTTTCACGATTTTTTTCCACAATAAAAAAAGGAAGATTCGATTGTTAGTTATTGTAAAAAAAACACAATATTTTTTTTATTTCTATTTCATTATCATTTGAGCGAATTTAACTTTCACTTTGTTGGACGTTAATAATAGAATTTTCAATTATGTATTCGAAAATTGGCTACAACCATTACCTGGTTCAAATTATTTTTTAAATATTATTTTTTTCTTTTTCTCAAAATGTAAGTTTATATATATTTTTAAAATTTTTATATCTAATTTAATTTTAAAAAAATTTTTAAAAATAATATTTAAAATAGATTTAAATTAATTTTTTTTTAAAAAAAAATGAAAATTTTAATTATCGCAATGTTGGGCATTTTGTGGGAACAGGTATTATTATTTTTTTTAATTCTCTTGTAATATCAAAATTGATCTCAATTATTATTTTCATTTTTAATTATTGCTAATATAAACTAATCGTCTTTGGTATAAAATACTACATATATGTTATTTAGATTTTTTTTGTCATGGTGATAATAAAAAATTATTTTACTTTATTTTTAATATGCATTGTTTTAGTTCACTATGGTTTCTACCTCGATTTTAGATACTATCGATGCTTCATATCCATATACAATAAAAAGTAAATTGATTTTTATATAAATATATAAGGGTTATGACTGTCATGGGAATGCCCATTCCTAGAGATTGGTAATCCCATCATATTTTTGTTAAGTATTAAGATATCGTTTTTGTTATATCTTTATTTCTTCATAAAAAAAGAGAAACAAAGTAATATTACCAATAATTGTTAACCTTGAATATAGTTTTAAATATTTAGTATAAATTTGGAAATATTTTTACTAGCTCAATAATACAATATATATTCCAAAATAGTATAAAATCATATATAATTTATAGATTTGAAATGCCAAAACAATATAATGACTGGAGCTATAAACTTCAAAAAATTTGCTTTGTATCAACCATCGTCCCTGTTCGAACCTCTATTAATTAGAATCAACGGCATCACGGCGACTACCGATTCGAATATTTCATCCTGTTACATTACAAAAGCAGATAGGTCCTTTGAAGATGCGGAAGAAAGCAATACATTGGATAAACAAATAACAAATCATAAGGAAAGGAATAAATTGGAGCTTGACTTTATGAGTGAATTTGTCTTTAGGATAAATTTGGATTCTTGTAACCCTATCATCTCAAGAAAGGTAATAAAAAAGAAAAATATTTTTTTAGGTAATTTATAGATTATATACTTATTGTACTTTTTGTGGTTATAAAATAATAAAATTAACGCCAAATATGGAATTTAAGAATTTATTATTTAAAAGAAATTCCAGAGTGTAGCGATATAATATGAAGGCGAAAATTAATATATTTAAAAAGGATTTCTTTACTTAACAAATTACAACAAATAATTAAAGTATAATAAAAACTTATAAAAAATAAATCTGTAACATTTGTAAATTTTTGTAAACATAACAAGAAATATTTCTATAATTAAATGTCATTTTTAATATAAAAATATCCAAAAAAAATTAATTTAAGAAAATGATTAATTTTAAAGAAATTATTATTTTCGTATTCAATATAATTTTTCATCATTACTATTTATCATTCTAATTTTGCAATCATTCATTTCGATTATCAATCTAAGTCTAATTTTTTATTATAATTTAATAAGTTGTCAAAGAGCGGGAATTTTACCTTACCACGAGGTCCTTGGCTTTGAATTTCTTATGAGTTTTTTTTTAATTTCCTTTATTAGTATCAATAATTATTTTCATGGATAAAACCCCCTTACTCCTTAAATACCTTATAAAGTTCTTTAAGGTGTACCCTATGTTTTTTTGATTAGTTTTTTTTAAGTCACATAATGAAATTTTCAGACACACACAAACTTTTTTTCCCCAAAACATATTTTAAAGTAGTTAGAAAGAAAATAAAAATCATGTTTAAAAAGGTCACATTATATGTCTTAAAAATGGCAATGTATGGAGGATGAAATCAATTTAAATTGTCGAGCTAACCAAACAAAAAATGAGCTTATCTTTTCAACTAATTCTTATAATTGCTCGACCAAATTGTATTTTTTAAAATAATATAAAAATCATTCAAAATTATTATATTATGTATATCTATCGGATAGGGAAACGTTTTAACGTTCTCCAACAATATTTACATCCAAAGAAATCCGAGGATAGTGACGGAAGCAGACCTAAATATTCCAGTCCATTGCGATTTTCGATTAGATCATGATGTAAAAAATCAACGGTACAAGTGTATATATTTTTTA